TCCAACACACAGCAACCGGTTAGTGCTGTACTAGTAACGAATTGTAAATGTAGTAGTGGGTTTAACTCTCCAACACACAGCAACCGGTTAGTGCTGTACTAGTGACGAATGACCACATTCTGTTTACGTGACAAACCCCTTACTAATTGGCTGTGTCGGGTGTGGGGGGTTTGACGACACAACACCTATATATTTACGCGATATAACTCCCCCCAAAAACCTGTATCATGAACTTTCTTTACAATATCTGACTAGGGAAGACCAATTGAGCCATTAGCTTCTATAGCAAAATAGCACTGACCCTAGCTGTGATCGTAACCCTTGTCCTTGAGGTGACCCTCAACGCTAGCCGTAGCTGTGAAGAGGACGTCTCTGTTAGCAGGGTTAGTGTTGAGGTCATGGACAGGGTTAGGGCTGGGGTTAGGGTTATAGGGTAAGTGTTGGGGTCATGGACAGGGTTAGGGCGAGGGTTATGGATAGTTTCGGGGTAGGGTTACGGCCACAGGGTCAGAGCTTGGATTATATGCAGGGGTAGGGGTAGAGACAGGGTCTAGGGGTAGAGACAGGGTCTAGGGGTAGAGACAGGGTCTAGGGGTAGAGACAGGGGTAGGGGTAGAGACAGGGTCTAGGGGTAGAGACAGGGTCTATGGGTAGAGACAGGGTCTAGGGGTAGAGACAGAGTCTAGGGGTAGTGACAGGGGTAGGGGTAGTGACAGGGGTAGGGGTAGAGACAGGGTCTAGGGGTAGAGACAGGGGTAGGGGTAGAGACAGGGTCTAGGGGTAGAGACAGGGTCAAGGGGTAGGGGTAGAGACAGGGTCTAAGGGTAGAGACAGGGTCTAGGGGTAGGGGTAGAGACAGGGTCTAGGGGTAGAGACAGGGTCTAGGGGTAGAGACAGGGTCTAGGGGTAGAGACAGGGTCTAGGGGTAGGGGTAGAGACAGGGGTAGGGGTAGAGACAGGGTCTAGGGGTAGAGACAGGGTCTAGGGGTAGAGACAGGGTCTAAGAGTAGAGACAGGGTCTAGGGGTAGAGACAGGGTCTAGGGGTAGAGACAATGTCTAGGGGTAGGGGTAGAGACAGGGTCTAGGGCAGTGGTTCTTAACCTGGGTTCGATCGAACCCCAGGGGTTCGGTGAGTCGATCTCAGGGGTTCGGCAGAGCCCCCGCCACGGAGGTCCGGACACACTTGAATTATTGTGTAAATTTGTGATGACACACACGGCCCGCTTGGCCATCACTGGCTGCAGATGATCATGCTACACTGCTTGGCCAATCAGCGCTGCGGGGAATTTAGTGCGTACTCAGTAGTCAACGTGTGACTGTTGTTGTCGTACGTCGTGTGATTTCTTTAATATTTTATCCATACTAACTATGTCGGGCAAAAGAAGAAAGTGGTCGGACGAATATGTACAACATGGATTCTCATGTATCACGGAACGTGATGGGAGTGAGCGTCCTATCTGCATGATTTGCAACGCCAAGTTGAGCAACTCTAGTCTTGCACCGGCAAAACTAAAGGAACACTTCTTGAAGCTGCATGGAGGCGGGGAATTCAAGAACACAACACTTGCTGAATTCTGGGTGAAGAGAGCCAGATTCGATGAAAGGGCCACTCTGCCTGCTCTTGGATTTGTACCTGTTAACAAACCGATCCTGACAGCATCGTACGAAGTTGCTTACCTGATCGCAAAGCAGGGCAAGCCACACACCATTGGTGAAACACTTGTGAAACCAGCTGCATTAAAGATGGCGAATCTGATACTCGGAACAGCGGCCGAAGGTAAATTATCCCAAATTCCCCTTTCAAATGACACCGTCAGTGACAGAATAGAAGACATGAGTAAAGACATCTTGGCTCAAGTAGTCGCAGATCTGATTTCAAGCCCGGCAAAATTCAGCCTTCAACTCGACGAAACCACAGACGTTTCTGATCTAAGCCAGCTTGCTGTTTTTGTACGCTATGTGAAAGACGACATGATAAAAGAAGAGTTTTTATTGTGTAAGCCTCTTACAACAACAACGAAGGCAGCCGATGTGAAGAAGCTTGTGGATGACTTCTTCAGAGACAACAATCTTTCATGGGATATGGTTTCTGCAGTTTGTACGGACGGAGCTCCAGTCATGCTGGAAAGAAAGTCTGGTTTTGGTGCGCTAGTAAAGGCCGATGCACCACACATCATTGTGACGCATTGTATTCTGCACAGGCATGCGTTGGCAACAAAAACCTTACCTCCAAAAATGGCAGAAGTATTAAAAACTGTGGTGGAATGTGTGAATTATGTGCGAAAAAGTGCTCTGAGGCACCGCATCTTCAGTGAGCTGTGTAAAGAAATGGGCTCTGAATTTGAGGTACTTCTGCTCCATTCTAATATTCGGTGGTTATCCCGGGGACAGGTGCTGAATCGTGTTTTTGCCATGCGTGTGGAATTAGCCCTGTTTTTGCAAGAACACCAACACTGCCATGCAGATTGCTTCAAAAATCCTGAGTTCATTCTCATTTTAGCGTACATGGCTGATATATTCGCAGCTCTCAATCATCTCAATCAGCAGATGCAGGGTGGTGGAGTCAATATCATGGAAGCGGAAGAACACCTGAAGGCTTTTCAAAAAAAGCTACCGTTATGGAAACGACGAACAGAGAACAATAACTTCGCAAACTTCCCGCTTCTGGACGACTGTGCAAGTAAGATCGAAGATGTGTCTGGAATCGGAGATATTTCTGTATCCACGGAACTGAAGCAAACAATTGCCACGCACTTAGATGAGCTTGCAAAGTCTCTCGACGGATATTTCCCTACAAGAGAGTCATATCCAGCATGGGTGAGACAGCCGTTCACGTTTGCTGTTGAAACAGCAGATGTCAATGATGAATTCCTCGACGAAATCATTGAAATTCAGCAGAGCCAGGTTCAACAGCAACTCTTCAGAACAACAACGCTCTCAACGTTTTGGTGTCGACAAATGAACAAGTATCCAGTTATTGCTAAGAAAGCCCTGGATTTTTTTTATACCATTTGTTACAACATATCTTTGTGAGCAATCCTTTTCGAGGATGCTCGACATAAAAACGAAGAAAAGGAACAGACTTTGCTGTGAAAATGACATGAGAGTGGCACTTGCCAAGGTGAAGCCACGCATATCTGAACTGAGCTCTCAAAGGCAACAGCAGAAGTCACATTGATTTCCAGGTATGTAATTTGTTGTGAGTTTATGCATTGTGTTGGTTTTATTCTTTGAACAAGGTAATGTTCATGCACGGCTCATTTTGTGTACCAGTAAAAAACATATCTATGTCTTGAATTTGAAAAAAATCACATTTTATTTTTCACTAAAGAGGGGTTCGGTGAATGCGCATATGGAACTGGTGGGGTTCGGTACCTCCAACAAGGTTAAGAACCACTGGTCTAGGGGTAGAGACAGGGGTAGGGGTAGAGACAGGGTCTAGGGGTAGATACAGGGTCTAGGGGTAGATACAGGGGTAGGGGTAGAGACAGGTCTAGAGGTAGAGACAGGGGTAGGGGTAGAGACAGGTCTAGGGGTAGAGACAGGGTCTAGGGGTACAGACAGTGTCTAGGGGTAGAGACAGGGTCTAGGGGTAGGGGTAGAGACAGGTTTGGAGTTAAGGCTCAGGCTAATCACACTGCTGCCCTCCTTCAAAGGAAAACATTTACACAATAGGCGACGTTTCGGGCAATGGCCCTTCTCCCTGCTCCACAGCCCGATTCAGTGGGGGGTGTGCTTACAACAACAACAACAAACACAGAGAGCGTCATAGCTCATCGGATTCTCCCTCCAGTTCTAAATAAAGATTCTGATTGTGATGAGTCATCACGTGGTGGTGGTGGGGAGGGGGCGGGGGAAGTGGGGTTGGGCGAAGGAGGGGGGTGGGTCGCGTGGAATAAGCCACGCCCACAGCTTCCCCCCCCCCCACATACCTTCACCCCACCACCACCGCTCACCACATAATGGACCAATCACAGCGCAGCAATAACAGTGGCGGGGGTGGGGTGCGGTGGGGTGGGGTGAAGATGACTGAACGGTGTCACCCAGGCGACGTCATCACGCACGACGGGGCCACTCCCCCCCCACCCACTGCTCTCCCACACTTAAACCTTACTGAGGGTGACGTCACCACGCTGGGTGGGGGACGTGGTGACGTCACCGCGTTGGGGGGGGTGAGAGGGGGAGGGTGGGGGCTGGGTATAAAAGGGGGCAGCGTGGGTTCGCGGTGGCTCAGTTTCGCGCGCTCTGCACGTGCAGTCACGCACGCGCGAGAGAGGCGCGTGCCAGGTTCCAGTTTTTAATTGCGTGGGTCACGTGACCAATTAAAAACCCACAAATTGCCACCCCCCCCCCGCCCCCTACTCTACAGCTTTTGTGCAAAGGGCAACAACCACATTCGTCCAAGAGGCTTAATTACATTGAAGCCTATCGTGTTCTTGGTGGTGGTGGGTGGGTTGGTGGGTTGGTGGGTGGGTTGGTGGGTGGGTTGGTGGGTGGGTGGTTTGCAAAAAGGTAAAGCTGTGATCCGTGGGGTGAGATTCCCTCTCTAGGGAGTTGAGGTCTCGAGGCTGATGGAGGCGTTGGGGCGATTTTGACTTTTAGCGAGTTTGGAAGAGCGACAGGGATACTCAGACCTCGCTCGCTCGCTCGCTGCGCTCTTGAGTGAGGAATTCTTCAACAGCAGCAGCAACATCAGCACCATAAACATCATCAGCAGCAGCAACATCAGCAGCACCATCAACATCATCAGCAGCAACAACATCATCATCAGTAGCAACAACATCATCATCAGCAGCAACAACATCATCATCAGCAGCAACAACATCAGCACCATCAACATCATCAGCAGCAACAACATCAGCATCAACATCATCAGCAGCAGCAACAACATCAGCAGCAGCAGCACCATCAACATCATCATCAGCAGCACCATCATCATCAGCAGCACCATCAACATCAGCACCATCAACATCATCAGCAGCAGCAACATCATCAGCACCATCAGCAGCAGCAACAACATCAGCACCATCAAGATCATCATCAGCAGCACCATCAACATCATCATCATCAGCAGCAGCGGCACCATCAAGATCAAGCTCAGGACCAGCACCGCTCCCTCCTGGCTCCACGATGCGCCTCCTCCTCCTCCACCTGGTCCAGGTGGTCCACCTCTTCACCCCCCACCTCGTCACCCACCTCGTCACCCACCACCTCGTGACCCAGCCCGTGGCGGCGGGCTCGTCTCCCCGCCTGGCCCCCCTCACCGGGCCTGCTCGAGCCGCGGCCCCGTCGCCCCCCGCCATGGAGCCGGTCTACTGGCACTCTGCTAATCCTAGGTGAGTTGGTGGGGGGGTGGTGGTGGTGGGTGGTTGTGGTGGGGGGGTGGGCACGGTGGGGGGGGTGGGCACGGTGGGGGGGTGGACACGGTGGGTAGCAAGGAATCGTCATCACGACTATGCATGGGGCAGGTGGACTGGCACGTGCTGTGTGTGGTGTGGCACGTGTGTGTGTGTGGCGTGTGTGTGTGTGTGGTGTGTGTGTGTGGCGTGTGTGTGTGTGGTGTGGCACGTGTGTGTGTGGCGTGTGTGTGTGTGTGGTGTGTGTGTGTGTGGCGTGTGTGTTTGGCACGTGTTTGGCACGTGTGTGTGTGTGTGGCACGTGTGTGTGTGTGTGACACGTGTGTGTGTGTGTGGCACGTGTGTGTGTGTGTGGCACGTGTGTGTGTGTGTGGCACGTGTGTGTGTGTGTGGCACGTGTGTGTGTGTGTGGCACGTGTGTGTGTGTGTGGCACGTGTGTGTGTGTGGCACGTGTGTGTTGAACTTATTTCGCACCGTACGTAGCCAACCGTACTATAATCATCATCGTCAAGATCCATGGGTAGATAGCTCGTTGTGAGTTTGCGTCTCTCCCATCATCACCACAGTGGCTATGAGATGTTGACTACCTCGCCTGGTATACAGGAGGTCGTGGGTTCCATCCCGATCCTGACGATGCCTGCTGCTGTATATTTGGAGTCTGCGTGTCTCTCTCTCATCATCATCACCACGGTGGCTAGGAGATGTTGACTACCTCGCCTGGTATACAGGAGGTCGTGGGTTCCATCCCGATCCTGACGATGCCTGCTGCTGTATATTTGGAGTCTGCGTGTCTCTCTCTCATCATCATCACCACGGTGGCTAGGAGATGTTGACTACCTCGCCTAGTTTGCAGGAGGTCGTGGGTTCCATCCCGACCCTGACCACGTCTGCTGCTGCTGTATATTTGGAGTCTGCGTCTCTCTCTCTCTCATCATCATCACCACGGTGGCTATGAGATGTTGACTACCTCGCTTAGTTTACAGGAGGTCGTGGGTTCGATCCTGACCCTGACCACGTCTGCTGCTGCTGCTGTATATTTGGAGTCTGCGTCTCCTCTCCCCGTGGTTGTGTGGATTTTGCTCCGGGCCCTCCGGTTTTTCCCCCTCTATCCACATTTAGAATCTTTGTCACGAGCTGATTTAAGTTTCCACGTGACGATGACGAAGCCACCACCACCATCACCACGTGGTTGAGCTGCCCGCATTGGTGATGACTGGTGGGGGCTTTTACACCTTACAGCTGGTGTGTAACGTCACAACAATAACTCGGGTAGCTGTTTCTCGCTTTTGGGTTCGTTGTAAATGTTTATAAAACACTCCCATCTCCGGCTCGTCTTCTTCCGCTCGTTTACAACAACAACAATGCGGACAATCACAGCAGAGGATCTCGTAAAATGTGTCAATGTTGTGTCGTTAAACACGCCACCACCCGACACGGCCAACTCGTAAGGGGTTATGTCACGTGAACAGAACGTGGCCAATTCGTTACTAGTGCAGGACTAACCGGTTGCTGTGTGTTGGAGAGTTAAACCCACTACAACATTAACAATTCGTTACTAGTGCAGGACTAACCGGTTGCTGTGTGTTGGAGAGTTAAACCCACTATAACATTGACATTTCGTTACTAGTACATCACTAACCGGTTGCTGTGTGTTGGAGAGTTAAACACACTACTACATTAACAATTCGTTACTAGTACAGCACTAACCGGTTGCTGTGTGTTGGAGAGTTAAACCCACTACAACATTAACAATTCGTTACTAGTGCAGGACTAACCGGTTGCTGTGTGTTGGAGAGTTAAACCCACTACAACATTTACAATTCGTTACTAGTACAGCACTAACCGGTTGCTGTGTGTTGGAGAGTTAAACCCACTGCGACATTTACAATTCGTTACTAGTACAGCACTAACCGGTTGCTGTGTGTTGGAGAGTTAAACCCACTACGACATTTACAATTCGTTACTAGTACAGCACTAACCGGTTGCTGTGTGTTGGAGAGTTAAACCCACTACAACATTTACAATTCGTTACTAGTACAGCACTAACCGGTTGCTGTGTGTTGGAGAGTTAAACCCACTACAACATTTACAATTCGTTACTGGTACAGCACTAACCGGTTGCTGTGTGTTGGAGAGTTAAACCCACTACAACATTGACATTTCGTTACTAGTACAGCACTAACCGGTTGCTGTGTGTTGGAGAGTTAAACCCACTACAACATTAACAATTCGTTACTAGTACAGCACTAACCGGTTGCTGTGTGTTGGAGAGTTAAACCCACTACAACATTGACATTTCGTTACTAGTACAGCACTAACCGGTTGCTGTGTGTTGGAGAGTTAAACCCACTACAACATTAACAATTCGTTACTAGTACAGCACTAACCGGTTGCTGTGTGTTGGAGAGTTAAACCCACTACAACATTGACAATTCGTTACTAGTACAGCACTAACCGGTTGCTGTCTGTAGAGTCGAGCCAAAACATTTACAATCTGAGTTACAACGTTTCGCCAGTAAATAACCAGCTTCATCAAACGCACACACGTACACCCATAGTCACACACACACACGTACACCCATAGTCACATACACACACACGTACACCCATAGTCACACACACGTACACCCATATTCACACACACACACAGTCTCACACACACACACGTACACCCATAGTCACACACACTTGGAAATGAAGAGCTGTTAACACAGACACACGTACACACGTGCCTATTCAAACACAGACACGCGTACACGTGCCTATTCAGTGTCTTCACACACCCACCCCCCTATTCAAACACAGACACGCGTACACGTGCCTATTCAGTGTCTTCACACACCCACCCCCCTATTCACACACCCACCCCCCTATTCACACACGCACCCCCCTATTCACACGCAGACCTCGCAAACATATCACCGTTATCCCCACCCCCTAAATAGGTGTTACTTACTAACAGCACTTGCTCCTACGGTCTGTTGAGGCTATATGGGGGGGCTTTGTCTTTTGAGTGGGTGGTCGAGCGAGTGAGTGGGTGGGTGGTTGAGTGAGTGGGTGGGTGGTTGAGTGAGTGAGTGGGTGGTTGAGCGAGTGAGTGGGTGGGTGGTTGAGTGAGTGGGTGGTTGAGTGAGTGGGTGGTTGAGTGAGTGGGTGGTTGAGTGAGTGGGTGGTTGAGTGAGTGGGTGGTTGAGCGAGTGAGTGGGTGGTTGAGTGAGTGAGTGGGTGGTTGAGTGAGTGGGTGGTTGAGTGAGTGAGTGGGTGGTTGAGTGAGTGGGTGGTTGAGTGAGTGGGTGGTTGAGGGGGTGGGTGAGTGGTTGAGTGGGTGGGTGGTTGAGTGAGTGAGTGGGTGGTCGAGCGAGTGAGTAGTTGAGCGAGTGAGTGGGTGGTCGAGCGAGTGTGGGTGGTCGAGTGATTGGGTGGTTGAGTGAGTGGGTGGTTGAGTGAGTGGGTGGTTGAGTGAGTGGGTGGTTGAGTGAGTGGGTGGTTGAGTGGGTGAGTGAGTGGGTGGTTGAGCGAGTTAGTGAGTGGCTGGTTGAGTGAGTTAGTGAGTGGGTAGTTGAGCGAGTTAGTGAGTGGCTGGTTGAGCGAGTTAGTGAGTGGCTGGTTGATTGAGTTAGTGGGTGGTTGAGTGAGTGAGTGGGTGAGTGAGTTAGTGAGTGGGTGGGTGGGTGAGTTAGTGAGTGGGTGGGTGAGTGAGTGGGTGGTTGAGCGGGTGGTTGAGCGAGTGAGTGGGTGAGTGGTTGAGCGAGCGAGTGGGTGATGGGGTATGATGAGTCGGCGACTTGGGGAGCGGTGGCGCAGTGATTAGCACACCAAGGCGCTCCAAACTCCTGGTGGACCACAGTTCGATTCACTCTCTCGCCACCGACCACCAAGACTTGAACCTGACCGTCCCCTAGGTCGACTCGGCCTTAACTTGGTTCCTGGTGTGGCGTGTATAATACATCAGCATTGGGGGAGACAAAGGCGGCCGGGCCCGGTGATAGCTGTGTCCCACCGTGGCTGTATTCGTTGGCGCTGCTGTTTGCTGCTCGCTACTCACAGCACTTGCCCCTACAGCCTGTTAGAGGCTACACGGGGGACCTTTGTCCGTGTGTCTATAGGTGCTGCTCGCTACTCACAGCACTTGCCCCTACAGCCTGTTAGAGGCTACACGGGGGACCTTTGTCTGTGTGTCTATAGGTGCTGCTGTTACTCACAGCACTTGCCCCTACAGCCTGTTAGAGGCTACACGGGGGGCCTTTGTCTGTGTGTCTATAGGTGCTGCTGTTACTCACAGCACTTGCCCCTACAGTCTGCTAGAGGCTACACGGGGGACCTTTGTCTGTGTGTATATAGGTGCTGCTGTTACTCACAGCACTTGCCCCTACAGTCTACTAGAGGCTACACGGGGGACCTTTGTCTGTGTGTCTATAGGTGCTGCTCGCTAACAGCACTTGCCCCTACAGCCTGTTAGAGGCTACACGGGGGACCTTTGTCTGTGTGTCTCTAGCTGCTGCTCGCTACTCACAGCACTTGCCCCTACAGCCCTGTTAGAGGCTACACGGGGGACCTTTGTCTGTGTGTCTATAGGTGCTGCTGTTACTCACAGCACTTGCCCCTACAGTCTGCTAGAGGCTACACGGGGGACCTTTGTGTGTCTATAGGTGCTACTGTTACTCACAGCACTTGCCCCTACAGTCTGCTAGAGGCTACACGGGGGACCTTTGTCTGTGTGTCTATAGGTGCTGCTGTTACAGCACTTGCCCCTACAGCATGTTAGAGGCTACACGGGGGACCTTTGTCTGTGTCTCTAGCTGCTGTTCGCTACTCACAGCACTTGCCCCTACAGCCTGTTAGAGGCTACACGGGGAACCTTTGTCTGTGTGTCTATAGGTGCTGCTGTTACTCACAGCACTTGCCCCTACAGCCCTGTTAGAGGCTACACGGGGGACCTTTGTCTGTGTGTCTATAGGTGCTGCTGTTACAGCACTTG